CGCCGCACGGGGGCCTGAGCGGCCGCGGCGGCGGCGGCCCCCCGGCGCCCTCCGCCTCTTCCCAGGGGGGCGCGTGCGGCGGCGGCGGCGGCGCCGGGGGAGGCGGCGGCCCGGCCGCGGAGGGCTGCGGCAAGCGGCCGGGATCGGTGTCCAGCAGCGACCAGGAGCGCGAGCTGAAGGAGAAGCAGCGCAACGCCGAGGCGCTGGCTGAGCTGAGCGAGAGCCTGCGGAACCGGGCCGAGGAGTGGGCCAGCAAACCCAAGATCGTGCGGGACACACTGCTGACGCTGGCCGGCTGCACGCCCTATGAGGTGCGCTTCAAGAAGGATCACGCCCTGCTCGGCCGCGTCTTCGCCTTCGACGCCGTCTCCAAGCCGGGCATGGACTATGAGCTGAAGCTCTTCATCGAGTACCCCAGCGGCTCTGGCACAGTGTTCTCCAGCGCCTCCGGCGTGGCCAAGCAGATGTACCAGGACTGCATGAAGGACTTCGGCCGCGGCCTCTCCTCGGGCTTCAAGTACCTGGAGTACGAGAAGAAGCACGGCTCCGGCGACTGGCGGTTGCTGGGGGACCTGCTGCCCGAGTCTGTGCGCTTTTTCAAGGAGCTGGTGGGCGCTGACATGCTGCCGCAGCCCTACCTGGACGCCAGCTGCCCCATGCTGCCCACGGCGCTGGTGAGCCTCCCGCGGCCCGGGGCCGGCGCCGGCGGGACGCAGGGCGCGGCCGCAGCCTCCCGGGGCCCGGGCGGCGGCGGCGGCAGCGGGAGCGGGGCCATGCGCAAGAGGAAGGCGTCCCCCGAGCCCTCGGACTCGGCCGAGGGGGCCCTGAAGCTGAGCGACGAGCAGCAGCGGCAGCAGTGGATGGCCAGTCAGAGCGAAGCGCTCAAGCTCACCATGTCGGCCGGGGGCTTTGGGGCGGTGCACGGTGGGGGCCCCCCGCCGCCGCCACCGCCGCCCCTCGGGCCCCACTCCAACAGGACCACGCCGCCCGAGTCCGCCCCCCAGAACGGACAGTCCCCCATGGCCGCGCTCATGTCGGTGGCCGACACGTTGGGCAATGCCCACTCGCCCAAGGACGGCAGCTCGGTGCACTCCACCACCTCTACCCGCAGGAACAGCAGCAGCCCCGTGTCGCCGGCCTCCGTACCGGGCCAGCGCCGCCTGGCCTCCCGCAACGGGGACATGAACCTGCAAGTGGCCCCTCCTCCCCCCAGCGCCCACCCCGCCATGGACCAAGTGCACCCCCAAAACATTCCGGACTCCCCCATGGCCAACAGCGGGCCCCTGTGCTGCACCATTTGCCACGAACGCTTGGAGGACACCCACTTTGTTCAGTGCCCCTCGGTGCCCAGCCACAAGTTCTGCTTCCCCTGTTCCAGAGAGAGCATCAAGGCCCAGGGGGCGACCGGCGAGGTCTACTGCCCCAGCGGAGAGAAATGCCCCCTCGTAGGTTCCAATGTGCCTTGGGCGTTTATGCAGGGCGAGATCGCTACCATCCTAGCCGGGGACGTTAAAGTGAAAAAGGAGAGAGACCCTTGAGTAGGAAATCCCATCCCTTCAGGCTCCTGAAGATGTAGAATTGTGAATATAACGAACTGCAAAAGTTAGTCTTATGTATAGACATTATTTTCGTCGTATGTTTCTATATTTTGAAACAAAGGTATGTACTCTTCTTCATTTGAAGGATAGAGCTGGTTTTTGTTAAACAGAATATAATATTGTTTGGTTACTACATAATACCTGTTCTCATTTCTTTGGCAGTGTGTTGGCTAGGTACCAAGTTAATAGCCCTTAGCGATTACCTGCTGCTGGTGTGTATTTTTGTAAATGTATGCACTTCTCTGACAGAAAGAAGAAAAACAACAACAAAAAAAATTTTTTATTTTTATTTTTTTTTTTTTGCCAAGGCCAGTGTTGATGCCTAAAAAATTGCTACGAAAAATGGTGACAGCTTCTGTTTTATGAGCCCTGAGTGTTAGTCCTTCACTTTCTTTTTTCTGTTTTTGTTTTTTTTGTTTGCAAACGGTGGGGTGGCTCTGGGGGGAGGGCGTTTTTTTGTTGCAAGTTTGTAAGGAAAATGTTTCAGTTTGTTTCTATTGATCTGAACGTTTTTAATCTTCATGTGTTTTTCGTTTTTGCTTTTATTGATGCACGGATGCTTTTGAACAGTAGAGCAAAACGCTGTACATGAAAACATGCTCTGTTTGTCCTTTATACATTTCTGTAGTTAACAGAACACTGTAATGTGCCTTGGAGCTTAGTAAATTGTAATAAATTCAATTGATATTAATACTCCTCGAGTAGAGAGTGGCGTTCTTCAGAGCTCAGGCAGTGCGCGTGCCGTGTGTGCCCAGTTAAAAGTCTCCATGATGGGAGAGCTGCAGATGGCCGCGCTGGCGGTGCTGCTGTGCGCACACTTTCACACACACGCCGGGAGATGATGATGGTGATGGTGGTGATGTTGGCGGTGTTATCGAATTCATCTGAATCTTGGCACCGTGCCTATTTACATTTCACCTTTAACGTTGCAGGAACATGTTGCTGACTAAGCATTTTCTATTTACTGTTTCTGCATCTCATTTCCTCCTCCCTGCTCCCCCCACCCCCAGCTCTCCAGCTGCAAGCCTTGTTTGCAATACAGGATGCATCCATTGCCCGTGCAATTTAGGAAGGCGTCAGACTTGAAAGGAAGCTTTCTTTCACAAAAGCAGCGGCATCACGTGCTCCACACTTGGGGCTGTTTTTAAAAGTCATGGCAGCTTGGCGGTCGCCGTGGGCTGTCGGTGGAGCAGGGCTGTGGCACGGCACCACAGGGCGGTGGGAGTGCACGGTCCTGCGGCTGCTGCTGCGGCTGGGGGCTGCCACCCCCCCTGGGCAAGGGCTTTTGCTAGTGGAGTTGGTGATGTAAGCCGTGCTGTGGTGTTTTCGGGTGAGGAAGCTTCCCTTGAAGTGCTGGATTGAACTGCTTTCCTTCTGGCAAGGATCGCATGCAATTCTTTGTATAATTAACTATTTTATGTGACTGTGACATTTTATGGAGACTGCAATACCTACTAGGTGATCAGCAGGCAAAGCAAATACACGGACCTTCACACTAGCTAGAAAACGCAAACAAACCTAATGTGAACTTTGTCCTTTCCAGCGAGGCAAATGGAGGAGAGAGAAAAACCTGAACCAAAACCCGAGCAGCCCTGCAGTTTGACCAACAGAACACGCAGACCTTCCAACTGCAATAGTGTCAGAGGTGATGAGCTCTGAGTTTTATTTTATTGTTAAGGATTCCTCTTCCTACAAAACAAAACAAAAACCCCACCACAATTACGTGCAGAGATTCTTTTCAAACGTCTGGATGGCATTCGGTATCCAGTTGCTCTTTGTAAGACGTTTTTCACATGTGTTCCTGGTGGAAAGTGTAACTGTGACGGCAGAAGCCTTGAGAGAGACTGTGCTTAGTGTGCATGCACATACACCTTTGCTCTCTCCTGTGGATACCTACTCCTGCTATTTTGTATACTGGCGGTGATATCTTGAGATTCGTTCTTTGGCATCGCAGCATTTGTGACTTCAGACTCAGAACTGTATACATATATATTATTATTTTTCTGCAGTTTCATACACTGATGCTTCCAAATGTCAAAACCTGCAGTTGTTATGTAGCACATTTAGTGAATAACACAAAGAAAGAATCTTTTGAGTTAATTATTGGATGCAACAGGCATGTTTTTTAGAATATGGATTTGTACTGATTTTATTCTAAATTCTTTTAAAACTTGCAGTTACCACATGGCGGTATATATCCAAAGCAAGAGACAGGGGGCTTAGAGTTGTGGGTTAATGACTGACAGAGAAAAGAAGCATAGGCAGGGAACAAGTTGAAGTTTAAACTTAACCAGGAGAGAAGTAATATTCGTGCATGAATTGCAGCTGGCAGTAAAAGAAGTACAGCTATTTGACACTTAGCTATGTCCTAGAAGGGTGAATTCCCAGATTTATGGAGATACGCTCTCGTGATCTTGAAATCAGTCACTGGTGGTTGGGGTTGTGAAGAGCTTCATGTGGTGGATTTCTTGAACTGAGGAGCACTCTTGGAAAGCTGTTATCAGCCCCAATTTTCAAAATGTAGATCCATTTACAAGGCCCCTCCGTTTGATTTATAACAGGCAAAGGAAGGGGAAGGGGCAGTGGACAGAGGTGGAAAATAAGCTTGAAGCAAATTGTAATACTACAGTTAATTAAAGTTAACGATCGCTCCAGGACATTTGTTGTATGGAGGTTTTTTGGAACCACGTGACCTTTTCCTTCACTCTGGCTCATTAAGCAGCCAGTCGTGGCACATTAGCCAGCGTTTCTCCGAACCCACTCCATAGGTGTTTCACATTCTGAAGATGCCCACAGCTGACGAACAGGCTGTGGCCATGTTTTGAGGAGGGGAAAGGGGAGCTGCCGCATGGGGCTCATGGCCAGAGCTTCAGCAGATGTCTGAGTTTTGCAGCAGTGCTTCCACGCTCCCCTCCCCCTCTTATTTTGCAGTTATTTAAGGTAAAGCTAAATGTTTGCTCAAATACATCGTGTACAAAATTTATTTGTCCAGGTGGTCATTTGTTGTGCTCTCATTCCTTCTCGCAATGGGGAAGTATTTAAATGGTTTATTTTCCCAAGGTGGTTTTTTTGTTGTTTTGTGTTTTTTGTTTTTTTTTTTTTCCAGTGAGTTTATTCTTGACATTACTTTTAATAGCCGTGTAGCCTTATTTTCTAAGAAATGGGCTAGAACACGTGTGGCACTGGGTGTTTGTTTTGTAAGTGTTGGCAGCTCTGTGCGAGTTGGAGATAGAAGTGTTTGTGCAGCAAGGAGATGTTATGTCCTTTTGGGGGAAATACTACACAGCTCCATCAGGAGCGTCCTTCAGTACAAACCTTGTTATCGTTTCTGTTTGCTTAGCAGAGCTGTGCATCTAAGCGTGCTCTTCCTCTCCCTTCCTTCAGCATTTGAGCTCCAAACTGGCCAGGACTGACATTGTTTTGAAGCTGTGATCTTTTCAAACAGGCTGGCTGCCAGCACAGCTCTGCAGTAGTCACTGGAAAAAGGGCTGTCTTTGCTTCTTTACGTTTCTTGAGAACCGAGTTTTTCTTCCCCTCGAGGGAATGGGCTTTGTCTCCTCCTAGCTCTCAGGTTCCCAGCTTACTATGCAGTAGTTGCTTTGCAGCTTTCCTCTCCTCTAGTTCTTGCCATTTTCTTTTTTTTTTTTGTGGTATGCAGCCATTCTCCATTCATAGCAGGATGGCTTGTGTTGTGCATTAGCAGCCTCTTTCTCTGCCAAAGTGACACATCCTGTAGATTTGTAGCAGAGTACTGAACTGTCACTGTAATGCTGACTCTTGTAGGGCTATTCTTGAAGCAGGACAGCTTCCCCCTTGGCATTCAGCCATCAGAATCCATTACAGCACACATTTTCTACCCAAAACACAGTTCTGTACCTACATAGCTGTTCTCACACACGTACCCGTGAAGATGCAGAGGACATGGTTATACCTTCTCGTGTAGAAGGAGACACAGCAGGAAACTGCTGCGTTTATTTTCATAGTATCTGGAAAGTGTGTACTGAGATTTTGTTGTTTCAGTTTCTGCCTTAAAACCCGCAACGCAGACCGGGAACAGCAAAGCTCTGCTGAGGGCTAGCACAGGAGGAGCAGCAGATGATGTCTTTTCCCAGCTGCGTGCCTTTAAAGAAGAATTAGGTGCTGCAGGAGGCTGCTGCGTGGCTGCTCGGGGGCCAGCCTGCCTGGGGTCCGTGCGGGGCTCGCTCTGCTCCTGCAAACCGCTCCCTGACCCTGCACCGCTTCCAACTGCTGACAGCGAACGCGCTGCCTGTCAGCCATTCGGGGAACTGCAGAGAGGAGAAGCATGAGGGTAGCCGGCAGCCATGTGGATGTGGGGAGGATGCTTGTCACCGGCCTGTGTGGCCGGCACGGTCCCCAGCTGGTCAGACAGGCTGGGCCACTCGGGGCTGGGGGCTTCAGCCCCACTGCCGTGCTGGGCTATGTCTTGCCGGTGGTGGTGGGCCTGCTGGCAAGGCTGCCCCCGGCACAGGACCCCCCTGCACGCCTGCAGATGGCCGGGATCGCATTCCCCCGCTGCCGGGCACCCAGCCTTCCCATGCGCCCTTGTAGGGTTATTTGGAGGAGGTGGGAGCAGGGCTGGAGGTGAGGAAGGTCAAGCTTCTTAGGTTTCAGCTGATTTGGCATCTGCTCACGGAGCCCGGCACAGCCGTGTGTGCTCACTGCTGCTTTTGTGACCCTTTGCAGAGAAATCTCAAAGACGCAAACTGCTGCCGGCCATGAAAAACAACGTACTCTCAGGAAAGCAAGGGGAAGGGGTTCCCACACCGATTGACAACGGGAAAACTGCGGGCTTTCCCCTCAGAGAATCATAACGAGGCCGGCCGCTCTCACTCAGGCTGGCACCGTTCCCTCGGCACGCACCGGCTGAGCGCTGCCCTGTGCCTGCTCTATTCGGGAGGGCTCATTTTTTTGCCAGCGCGGAGGCCCCCCACTTCGTTCCACACCCTGTGGGCGAGGGCCGGGGCTGGCAACGTGACCGCAGCGCCGGCTGGGGCCGAACCCGACTGTGCGGGGCCGGGAAGCGTGTGAGCGGCGATCCCCGCCCGGCCGGCTGCCTCCACGCTGAGGCTGGGAATGGGGACACGAAACATGTCTGTGCAGCTTCAAGGAGCCGAGCAGAATTCCCCGCTGTCATCATCCTCCTCCCCTCCCTCCCTGCGGGCTGCCAGCAGGGAGGGCCGATCACAGCCCCGCTATTGTTCAAGTAACCTACAAATGGATTTGCATGGAGGCAGGTTGGGAGGGGCGGAGGGGTGGGATTTATTAGCAGCGGCTAAATTCGTCGGGATTACTATTAGGCCGAGAGCTTCTCAATGGGCACGATCCCTGGGCGAGCGGTGCGGTGGCGGGGAGGCGCTGGAAAGCTCCTTTTCTGTAGATGGGCAAAGGGGCGTCCGGTGGGAGCCAGGGGAGGCAGGCAGGGCACAGCTGGCTGCGGGCGCTTCACCTCGGCACAGGCTGTAACCTCCATTCCGAGCACGCAGCTCCTGGCAGCGTCGCTCATACCAAAGCCTTGACTCAGAGTTATCTGCATGCTGGGTAATGAGCAGCGTCACCAGAGGAATGTGCAGAGAAAGCAGCCATGCTGCTGCAAGCCTCCTCTCGCTCCTCGGGCGAACTGCCGATTTAGCAGCCTGCCTCTGCGTGACCGGTTGGAGGTGGGGGCTTCAGTC